TCAAAAAATTTATGTAGATATATATACTGCGTTTGATACTTACCTCATTCTTTACTATTACAAAAACTACCGTAATCTTATAAAAATGGGTCTAAAATTCTTTCCCTTTCAACATCTTGTTTCTCAAAAATAAGTTATCATTGTTGGTCAAGAAACTGTTCCAAGCGATGTCAATTATAGAAATTCCGGCATTTCACAAGGCTCTATTTTATTACCTTCTATTTTTCTGATATATATATACAGGGTGGGCCAAAAAACCAATACCCAACTTTAAATCAGGATAAAAATAGTTAGATTCAATATGGTACATTGACTTGCATACCATTTTAAAGGTTATACAATTTCAAACAATTTGGTATATAACACTATGTCATGAAATCAATAGTAAAGTTTTATTATACTTATTTTGGAGGCCGGGTCGCTATTTAGGGTCTCCAGATTTAAGGGAGAAAATAGTAAATCTGTGGAATTATGTTAATTTTTTATTTATAGAATATCATTCTTTTGTTAGGTGAATACATTCTTGGATACTGATATTTGCATCATTGTGTGACTGAATTTATTGTTTATGAATTTCATTGCTGTTTTATAACATTTTTCACTTTTTTATTTAAACAATTTTCACAATTGCTCAATATACCCCCACCCCTCCCCTATGCATCAACAATCAGCTTCAAGTGGTAGCACAATCTATCAATAGCCTTATTGAGAGATTTCTGTTGCAATTCATTTCAGCACTTTAGGATTCTGTTTCAGCACATCAAAGCTGTTTATTGGATGCTTTTGATTGTACCATTTCGTCGAGATGGCTCCATGTATCATAATCAAACTAATTACATGTAGCATCAGGGCTGTTGGGTGGCCAAGCATCGAGATCAATCAAATTGACACCTTGTTTGCAAAGGAATGCCAATGTCTCTTGAGATCTATGGTACGGGGCAATGTCTTGTTGGAAAATAAAATCCTCGTCACATATACGTTTAATGTCTTTTAACAATCTTTGAGTACTTATTGATAATAAAGAACACTAAAATTCATAAACAATAAGTTTAGTCACACAATATGCAAATATACAAGCATTTATTCACCTAACAAAAGAATGATATTCTATAAATAAAAAATTAACATTATTCCGCAGATTTACTATTTTCTCCCTAAAATCTGGATACCTTAAATACTGACCCGGCCTCCCAAATAAGCATAATAAAACTTTAATATTGATTTCATGACATAGTGTTATATACCAAATTGTTCGAAAATGGATAACCTTTAAAATGATATATAAATCAGTGTATCATATTGAAAATAGCTATTTTCAGTCTGATTTAAAGTTGGGTATTGTTTTTTTGGCCCACCCTGTATATATATAAGCTCCCTGTTTTTTTTATCAAATATTATATTTTCGCAGGTGATACATGATATTAGTCGTCAGTAATTTTCTTTTTAGATCACATTTAAAGTTATCTAAGTTTGATGATTATTTACGCCCAGGGTCGAAATAACAAGAACTGAACGAAATCTAATTTCCCGGGGAAAATTTCTGGTCGTTGATGCATTATTGACCGGCAATATGGCCCGTCACTATGACGTCACATACTGCTCAGGTCGATATAATAAAATAAATCCCTTCTTAACTGGCACTAATACCCCTAGAACAGGGCCGGCGTCCCGTGAGGTGATAATAATTTGGAATCGAATGAAGTTTGGTTAGTCTGTAACGAAATCGAGAAACAATATCCAACTGCGTAGAAAAACCATTAGCATTTTACTATTATATTTTGTAAAACCGTAATTGAGAAGATATGTGCGCAGATTTGATAAAAAACGAACACTAGAAAAATCTCTCCATTTTGATACGATATAGCTCCTTCCTGTCACAAATTAGTTAAATAAGAGTCTAGACTCTCATAGATAAATCTTCTCACATCCCATTATCTTTTAATTGACATCTTAAAGTAATATTGCTTTTAATGGATCTACCCCTTCACTTTACATAAAGAGGTAATGACGAGGACATTTCCTTAAACAAATCGAACTTACTGTTTTCAGATAAGAATGTACGTTGATGGATGAATGATGGAGAATCCATTTATGGCTTTGTTTTGACAAACTTGGTGATCACGACCTGTAAAACTAAATTACTCCTTTTGGTCTCATCGTATAGTTAGATTTCTTTATAATCGGAATAAAAAGTCCATTGTGTATTTCATGATAAATTGATAAGGATTCTAAATGTAATTATTGTGCCTTTCGAGATACGATAAAACACAAATTCTGGGAGTTCAAAAGGATTCAAATATTTCTGACTCAGAATCAAAGTGAATTTAAAGCGTCGATTTCGATGTATTGTTAATGACTCTGACTCTGACCTATACACATCAATGCGGATGGTATGAATTGGGGTAGTTATTGCGGAAAATCATCAACAACTTTGTTCGCCGGATTAAAATGTGCATAAAGAGAGGAGGTGCACATTTGGGGCATGTTTTGTAAGGAACTGTACACAATTAGCAAATAATCATCAAACTTTACAACAAAATTCACATTGAATGAACTAAATAATTCTGAAATTTCAAGGTAAAATATGCAAAATTGACCGAGTTATTCAACTTTCTTACGATCCTTTTTTGAACACCCTGTACCAGGCAAAACATCAAAGACCTGCAAGTGTTTTATTGCTAAGTCCTTGTCTTCCTTCTAATCTGTGTCTCAATGAGACTCTTTAAATATTCGACCTTTCATGAATTAGATGTCAGATGGCTAAGTGCTCTCCAAATGATCAATCTATACCAGATCGTTGTTTCATGAGCTTTTTACTGTCAACGTGACGCTTTAGTTGTCATTTAATTTGTATTCGAGTGTGTCCCTCGATAATGAAACATGGTTTAATTCTGATTGAAGACCAGTCTGGTTAATGACGAAATCCACATTTGAGTGGGAAATAATTGGAAAAAATCAGTTACTTCCGAATACGTATACAGATTTTCAAATATCTTAGCACTAAAGAATTTTGATGAGACATGGAATGTGTCATGGAGTCATACAACTATTTAACAATGCGTTCAACAAACTGTATCATATCAAACCTTATATCTATTCCTTCCCCCGTTTCGTTCTATCTTTAAAAACAGTTTCATATATCGTCATCTTGATAAGAAAGGGATATACCATATGCTACTATATACACCCCTATATGTGTTTCAGTTATAAATGTAAATGAAACAAGATTAATTGATCATAAAAGTGCTATGTAAACCATATGTATAGAAGTATATATTGAGAATACAATAAAGTTATGAATAAAATATTCCCTCTCGCTCGTATAATTGTAATAAAAATGTATTTTATATTCACCGTCGTTACTCTTTCTCACCATATTTCATAACCTAATCCCGTTTTGAAACTCTCAATAAAACGGGGGTAATAAAGATAAAGATAAGATTAAACGAGCAAGCAAAAATGAGGATCTCAAAGAAGTTAGAAAATTGCACAGAATTTAAGGCAAAAATACAGAAAGGTGATGTCGAGCCTTAGAAAATATTATAGCAACCATGTTGGAAACACTCGATGAACAATACAAGGATAAGTTTGGTCACTTTTGTTTTTTGCGTCCAGAAAAAGCCTTATTTTTCTTTCTAGAAAATGAGGTTAGTTTGTCAATGCTAAAATTTTACTAAAAATGATCAACATTTTTTTCCTTGTCAATTTCTAGGTCCGCCACGAAGGAGTTTAAGATCAACATAAATACCCATGATTAGATGACCTGATAATCAAGGTCAAGGTCAACTTTTATGGGTTAAGGTCATTCCAAGGTCTTAAGTTAATATCTGGGCATTTGGCGTTTTAAGGTCCTTTGTGCTGCTGTGACCGGTACCCTTGGCGACCCATGATTAGGTGACGTGACGTCAGGTTAAAGGGTTCCGATAAGCTTCCCGTATATTTGTTAAAATGAAAATCTCCCTTTTATAAATGTGTGACGATCTAAACTGTACCAACGTTATATAAAAGTTAGAGGTGTTGACACAACGACCTCGAGCCTTTGAACCCTTGAGTATTATTCCGGGATCGAGCCTTTTATACTAAATGGTGAGCAACACCAGAAACGAGCGTTCGATTTGCTTAACGATATGCGTCACCCTTTAAGGTAAACTTTTATGGTTCAAACTCGAACGGGTATATTGCTTGTGACGGTAAAAATATCAATCCAATTTAAAGATATACTAAGTCCCTGCAAATTGAAGTTCAACAATTATAAGTGATACCAAGCAAACAAGGAATAATGGTCATTACTTAAAAGATTGGATATATAACAATGCGTTTCATCTTCTTGGTGGTAACATTTTTAACTCCCACGTTAACCAACTCTCAAAATACCAAGATGGAGGCCAAAGCAGTAAACCAACCACCCACGTATTCACTAGAGATGAACTGAAAACGAAGACATAGGCTATTGTCCTTGTAACAATATGGAGGAAATTTCTAATCTGTTTATATGCATACAATAAAATCGCGACCTCGTCGTAAACCAAAGTAAATCAGTTGTACTCGTGTTTTTGTTACAAAATGGGTCAAGTGTCCTCGTCGCTACCGGTACCATGGTAACAGGATTACACGATGCGTATCTAATGTACGAGAACATCACTAATCGATGGGTTCTTTATATTTCGAAACCAAAACTTTGGAATTACTTGCATCCAAATATGATGTTGCTGGCAAACAAAGGAAAAGATTTGGGTTCCAGAATTCCGGTTATACAAAATGTCCTCATCTCGCCTATTCCCAGTGGCCCCAGTGGTACAGTTCAAACCTTCAGAGTATGTTTCATTTTATTTTGATAATACTGCTATAAACAATTTACGATCAGTAACAATTATAGGTGTCAACATGCACTTGAAGTAGTTGTCTTTGCTGTACCTTGGTTAAACTCGTTGATCTGAATAATAAATCACATCAAAACAACGCAAGTGTTTTCAATTGGTAATCATAAATTGCATTTTCAACATTGATCATACAGTTATATTGCTTATGCATAATTTCAAATTCTGAATGCTTATCAGATGCCGCGCCCAGTAAGTAGTGTACATTTAATCCATTCATAAAATGGGGAATGTGACATTTATATACATACGGGGATCATACCGATACAGTTATGTCCGAATCTGGTGAATACCGCGTTGATTACACTGAAGTCAATGGTGAGAATGGAAGTATAAAAGCGCCATCGAAATACGTAGCAACAATTTACACTCCCGGATATAAGGAAGCTGATAGTCGAGAATCTGGAAAAGAGATGGAGGAAAATGACAGTAATGATGCGGACTTTTATGCCGAAAAACGCTATCCTACCCACGTAGCTAAGGTATATCAAGATGATAGTGAAAATGGACTTGTTATATCAAACCCAATATACGTTCTCAATCAATCGCAACAGACCGATCCCTCTGATCTAGAAGATGCCCATATCTCTACAAATGGGCCTACTGTAAATGGAGTTAAATCTAAGCCCAAACGAACCAGGCGCCGTTCATCGTCCAGTGACAGAGTAGGACACACAACGTCAAAGAAGAGAAAGGAGCACTCATCCAAAACTCGGTTGGTGAGGAAGAAGGCGCTTTACACGCACAGTCCAGCACAATGGGTGTTGTTGATAGCAAGCATAATTTCTTTTGCTGTTATGGTCATTGGAACCATATTTGCATATGGATGGCGACCTTCGTTCGGTAAGTTCAGAGGACATGTATGTGATCAATAGTTTTGAAGTAGACTATAGTCTTGCTTAAAAGACCCTGTTCTCCCCCCCCCCCTTTATCATTCTCTCTAGGGTCTTGTAACCACCAGTAAGTTGACACTGATATGAATTATTCATGCTAGATGGTTATCTCTTTGATCAGCCAATCAGATTCTTTGTGATTCTTTGTTGTCCTTAGCAGCACATGGCTATGTTAATAAACAGTAGCCTCTTTACTGCCAAGAAAATAGTTCTTCATACTTGCACTTATATTTCCATGATTTTATCTTGTTGTGTATAGAAATACTTTTCTAAACTTAAATCCTTCTCTTAACAAAGGTTTAAAAGCATAAAATAAAAAGTATTACCAACTAAAACTCACTACAAGAAAGCATGTCTGGTGTATTGATTTATCAAATAGTTCCAACCTCATTAATAATTCATGATTTCCGGATCCGTTTAGGAAGGTGGCAGCACCTGCATAAAATCAGTGGTTACAAGACTGTATGTTGCCAGGTAAAGAGAGTGAAGGTGACGGGGGGGGGGGGGGTGGATACAGTCTTTGAGCAAGACTAAGTAGACTAGTCCTAATGAACAATTTAGAAAGGGTTTTATTAGTCCAATGTATCCATAATTACATATCAGCCATCAATAAATATGTACTATTTACACCTCATCATCTTGAAAATGTGAATTTTAATTGCTCTATATCGGTTGATTGCTTTCATAACAGCCGTTCCATGTTAGCTGGAACAGCTAGAGTGCCCAGCGTAGTCATGTTTTTTTCAACAAACGAAATGTCATTTATGGTTTTCAGATTTCTTAACATCTGGGACATACGATGTATTTGAGACGTACCCTCTGGACATCAGCCCACCTGAGTGGGTGTTGATCACGTGGCTTGTTTGCTATGGCTGGCTCTTCATATGGCTGCTCTACGCATTGGTGTCCCTTTGCCGAAAGGTAGAGATGGGGTATGCCTACAACTCACCCCCTTTTACGAGTCCCATCACTTACTACACATTTAGCTTGGGCTGTTTGCTCATATTTGGTGGAGTTATACTTTGGGATATGCATGCGAACTATATACAATATTCAATCATCTTTTTTGGCTGCTCGACTATTCTGTTTTTTGTTGCAACGGCCCTTGCATTCCATCGCCTCTATATCTGTATGCCATTTTTGTTAGAGCAGAAACGATCGGGAGATGTGTGGGCAACACGGATTCTGCAGCATAATGCGCTTGCATTCATCACATGGCTTACGATTATAATTCTGCTTTTAAATATTGGGCTTGTATTGGTCGAATTCGGCTCTGTTTCTCAAGAGATAACCTGCACTGTTTTACTTAGCATATACCTTGTTCTTTTCTTTGCCTGGTTCGCTGTTGACGTGTTCCTTCTTGATGCCTACATGCGCTATTGTATCACTCCGCATATCGCTAGTATCGCTGTCTTCGTCGGTATAGTCATCAAACATTGGGACCTCACCAAACTAACTTCTCTCTATGCATTCGTATTGCTGCTTCTCATCGCAGTCTCCTTCTTTGTAAAGATTGCTATTATCCTGTATCACTCGAATGACAAGGAAACATACACCGTGAATGAAATTAGAGCAGAAGAGAGTCCTGCTAATGCTAACGAATACGAAGTCAGTCCTGGAGGGGAGAAATCAGCGAGCATCCAACCTGATAGTAAATACATTTACGACAATGTTTAAGCCAGTGCATGTGGTACCTGATGTAAATACATTAACGACAATGTTTAAGCCATCGACGTCTAATAGAACATACATCTACATGCGACAATGATGGCAAATACATTTACGACAATATTTAACCCATTGCCGTCTGATAGCAAATACATTTACGACAATATTTATCCACTGCCGTCTGATAACAAATACATCTACGACAGTATTTAAGCCACCTGATAGCAAATACGTTTACGTCAATATCTGAGTCAGTAATACCTGATTGCAAATATATTTAGGACAGTGTTTAAAAACAGTTGTAGCTATTGTAAATTCACGACAATATTTGAGCCATTGGTACCTGATGGCAAAACAATATTTAAGCCAGTGGTACCTGATAGCAAATATATAAGCAAATGTCGTCTGATAGCAAACATTTGCGACAATATTTGAGTCAGCGGTACCCGATGGGAAATATATTAAGGACAATGTTTAAGGCAGCGATACCTGATGACAAAAACATATACTTACGACAATTAATGACAATGTTTGAGAAGGTGGCAGGCCCGTAGCCAGGGGGGGTTCGCAGGGTTCGGGCGAACCCCCCCCCCCTGGCCAAAAATTCTTTCAAAATCATGCAGTTTTTCACCATTTTGAGCACTTCTCTTGTGATTTTAGCCATATTTGGGCCAAAATTGTCAAATGTGAACCCCCCCTTGAAAACTGACCCCCCCCCCTTGGCAAATCCTGGCTACGGACCTGGGTGGTATCTGGTATCTACAAATTAAAATAGGCCTACATTAGCAACATTATAGCAAGATAAGGTGATATACTTTCATAATGCTCAATACCATAAACAATATTTTATGAAACTATAGCGTGTGTGTTATTGGCAGTGTTCTGAGTAGAAATGCTCATTTTTCTCCTTATTGCAGAAAGAAAAATGGTTAAAAGTGACTCTTTGTCATCGAAAAGTGCCCATTTGATTCCATATCTATAATTTATCATATGGAGTAGTGGAAGAGGAGTATTGATTGGCTCATTTATTATAAGGATTTGTTACTGTATTTCATTGAAAAAATAATCCAAAGGATGGAAAATGTATTTATCATAATCCATTAAGCGAAAGAAAGCAGAGAAACATTTTGAAAATACTGCGTTTACATTAGAGATGTTATTCATTGCTGCTGAAACTCCTAGCAATTTGATGTATTAATAAATAGTACCGTGTGTACTGGGTTCACATGGTGTAGTGGTACTAATTTCCATGACAGAAAGACAAGATTTTAAGATGAAAACCCCTAAAATGGCCGAGTAAACAAGCAGAGATAGATTTTTGCCAATTTTCTTTTTACAAATTTATCTTATAAATAAAATATCTTATAATTAAAAACTTCTGTTAACAAAGCACTTGAAATTATTTAAAAAGCTGATAAATGCTCAAAAGTGAATTTCCCTCGACAATAATGGGTGGCCATTTTCAAAAAGGCAAGCTTTTACATCAGGAGTCATAGGGTTTTTCCTAGTATGCAAGCAACGATGCTCGTATTGGTAAATAACAAAGGTAATCTTAACCTAGAATCATATCGTCAGAGATTTGTCATAATACCTGTAGACAAGACTTCATAGCTTCATAGCCGACAATAAATAAGCAGATATTTTTGGCCGATTTTTATTAAATTATTTTATAAAACTACTATTAACAATAACATGAGTTTTTACAATGCAGGAAACCAGAAATTATTTATAAAGAAAGTGAATTTTATGGCGGGCATTTTGAAAATAGACGAGCTTTTGAACCGGGAGTCATAGGGGGCTTTCTTGTATTGTTAACACAATTATTGACGTCAGGATGCGCCATAACATTCTGCTGGCCTAATTTCTATTTCTTTGAATTTTTTAATTGATGGTTGTGTTTGTTTATTTTTGTTTGTAACTGTATGGTTACCATTGTTATGGTGTCAAACTATGTAGCTATGGTGGTTGTGATCTGGTCACCATCATAATTTATCGGATATTGCCGTGACGTGTGCGTGACGTTTTTCTTCAGATTTATCTCGAGTATTACGTCATTAATATGCGCTGGATTGCAGAGGGGGAGAAACACCAGGGTTCAAAGATGACATACGCTTATAATGTAAATCTGTATTGAGATGACTTCGTTGCTGATTGGTCAAAAGTCGACAAACAAATGACGTCATCAATGGCGGTTTAAAAATTTTCGAAATACGCTTCGAATAATATTATGTTCATTTCTGGCGTATTAACCAATATCATAATTTCTCATTTCACATCAAGATAAAGAAAGGTGTACGGAATATGCCTATATCAATTAAAACATCCCATCGAAGTGTAGTATTTGATAACTAGCCGATGAAAATTCGAACGAACGAAGGTGGAAAGCAAGAGACGTAATTATGTATGTCATCTTTAAACTCTGGGGCTTTCCCTCCTCTTGCTGGATTGTATGGAGACCATTTGTTTTGGGAAACAACAACCAAATACTTTCACTTTCGAAAGACCACTTTTACATTTGATTAGAAATCAAAGTGATATCCTTTTAAAACTGTTTGAATGCATTTTGTTGTTATTAAGATAACATCGTTTGATAAATGAAGAGAAGAAAACTCAAAAGAAAAATCGATGACGCTGACTTCCTTTGACAATGATTGGGTTTGTTATCGCTAATTCTTCCCTATGTGATGTAAGGGGTGTTTCCCGTTGTTCCTTTCCGTATTAGTTTGTATCTAAGCTTGGAGGAAATGAAAAATGCCGCTCGACTTTTTGGTGATTTTGAAGTCATGTCTGCACTTCACAGTTCAAAATCACAATTTCAAAATCGCGATGAGCGGGGAAATTTTGTCGGGAATTTCAGTCACAAAAATAGCGATTGACAACTTACACTTCCTCCGAATGTAGTTTTATCGGTGTTTCTTGTCTACTCATGTATTTTGTAGAGTTCGCGGTTGATGGAAAATAAACTTATGACCAGTTTTATATGCTTGAAATCTCCAAAATGTAGCATACCGCATTATTATGTCGTCAGGGCATACCATAGTATCTCCCATTTTCATTAGATGTGCTTCTTCTTTTGTTGATATTAAAATAAATTATCGGTTATTATGACGACGTATGCCATCCTTCTTCAAAGGAGTTCATTTAAATATACCCTTGTATTGCTGCAAGGATGGGCGTGTATTTACACTGTTGTGACGTGTGGCAACCCAAGTACTAGCTTAATGTGAGGAATTTTCTTGTGAAGTCACATTAACCTTTTTTTATAAAGTGTCATATCAACTGCTAACAGTTATGAATAATGTGCTTTAGTTAAGATAACGAATGGTTTAACTCGATTTAAAGTTACATGGTCATTTTCCTGACACATGTTTAGAAATGCGATTCCATGGAGGAAAATCAAGTTCAGCGTCTGTTTCGAGGGAATTCGTTTGGAATGAGACAGAGGCGAAATGTGTTGCCTGGTGATGATTGTAGTGTTTTCATATTTTTTTATTAAATTTTCATCTTTATAATTATGTCTATACATTGTCTATAAAGATAATTATCACGTGTATTACAGAGCCCAATCAGAAAGTGTATATGGAAGTAAAATAATAATGTGGGGTATTATCTACCTAAAACTAGAAGTTGTGAAGGAATATACAAAGTGACTGCCATTGAGGGAAGTAGTGCAAAATGGGGTCCACTGACATGTCATTGGACAGTGGAGGCGAAACATTTTACACATTTTCTCGAAAATATGGCAGTCATTATATATTATACCCCACCCGGCATATGTACTCTGTAATGCCTGGGTCACATTTGCTCCGATCCATCGGCCGGTGCCCGTTCGATTGAGTGTTTTGTTCAATATTGTATTCAATTTTGAACAAAATACTCAATCGGCCGGGCGCCGTAGTGAAAATCGGAACAAATGTGACCAAGGCATAAACAAAGACAAAATGAAAAGTCATTGATTTCAACATTTAATGCTTACAGGTTCTTATTGGCATTTCGAAAAATGTTTCAACTCATATGATCCCAGTTATGCCATGGTCACATTTGCTCCGATTTTCACTACGGCGCCCGGCCGATTGAGTATTTTGTTCAAAATTGAATACAATATTGAGCAAAACACTCAATAGGCCGGGCGCCGGCCGATGGATCGCAGCAAATGTGACCCAGGCATTAGGGGGAAAATAAAAAGTACGACTGACTGGCCACATTATTAGTACTTTTCACCTTCCCTGTTATGCCTCACTAACTGGGTCACATTTGCCCCATTTCATCGGCCGGCGCCCGGCCGATTGAGTATTCTGTTCAAAACTGAATACAATATATGAACAAGATACTCAATCGAACGGGCACCGGCCGATGAATCGGAGCATTTAATGTGACCCAGGCATTAGCAGGGTTTTGGAACTTCCCGGGGAAAGTCAATTAGCATCTAGAATACATATGGGGTATATAATAAACCAATTATTTACTGTACTCTGTTTTCAATAAGCCAGAAGTCGTTGCCAATATTCAATTAGCAACTATAACAATATAACAACTCTAGTATTCACAATTATGTATATATTCTGATACCAACACGCCTCGTGAAACACCATCCATTATTAGTTGCAGTTTTCTGGCGCCAGAATGACGTATCATCACACTATTTAGTCAATAAAAATGGAAATAGAAATCATTGACTATTCACTGGTGATCCACTCGATTACGCTGGTTACCGAAACGGTTCGGTAACAACGTAAATAGTCCATGGTATGAAATATCTAGGACGTCTTATAAAGGAGCTGGTAGCACACTATATGCGCAGCGATATTTGACCTAATATTAACATACCTACATATGTTCGCTAATAATTTTTATTATTACCATTTAATATACTTCCGGACTTCAGGCTGAATTATGGCTGCCATTAACAGAGGTCAAAAAATTACCAAAAAATAAAATGATTTTAAATATATGATTAAGGTTTCTAAGCCATAAGTTTGAGGTTACTTTTCTTATCAATACCAAACAATTATGTAATCAGTGTATCGACCTTTGTATTGTTTCTCAGGTATTAATAAGATAAATACTACAAATGAATCACTTTTATATTAGAATGACAAATGCTTAAATTATGCTAGTTTTTCACAAAATGGGTCTCAATACGTTTTGAGATATGGACTCTTATTCCGCGGTGAACATTATCAATAAAGGAGGGCCTATTGGCCTTCCTTGACTAATTGGGACTACGGCTAAAATTCTAAAAAATTTCGTAGTTAGGTATAGCTCAGTTGTTTATAAAACTACCAATAAGACTTGGTCGAATTCATGAATAATTGAAAAATTCGTTATCATTATCTTCCTAAAATTTGATGATATCCTGCGGTAAGGTCAAAGAAAAAACAGCCATCAGAAAACTTGATGATATCCAGCAGTTACGTCGAGGAAGAATTGTAAGGCGTTCGATTGCATATGACTCTAATTGATTATTAGACATGCCCTTGGAATATATGAACATTCCAATACCTCTGTAACATTTAATTAGATATAAATCTTACCTATTTGTTATTGTAATTATGTTTTATAAAACATGAACAATAATTTGTGGTTTGACCCCTTGCAATTATATGGAAATATTCTGGTAATAAAATGTTTTAAATGGTAAGAAAACTAACATGTTCCCAATCATAAATTACCTAAATATTCCGCACAATTTTGTTGAATCTGCTTGCTTGGTTCATATTTGAAAAATCAAACAAAATCTGAAAAGCACACTTGCATAATTGCACTAATTAAACACCTACATCTACAGTAAAATTATAGTATATTTGCACATTATGATAATCTATGTTTTGTTCGTATGCTTAGAATAACGGTCTGTGTCTTATAAAACGTATAAAAGTTCGTATCAAAATATTTACGTTTTTTGACCCCTTATGATGAAAGACATTTTTCGACCCGAAAGCCGGAAGTTTTTTCAGCAAATTGTATTTTAAAAGAATCAAGACATATGCAGCTCCATAAATATTGCTTCAAATGTCGCTGCGCTATAGTGTGCTACGGATCCTTCATATTCGGAAGTCATACCATGGACTATTTCATCGACATCGCACTGCATTAAGTGATACCAGCGTTCGCTTCTCCTGGACGTTGACATTCCTGCTATCGTTGGTGCACCGAAACCATGGCAACTGCAGAAGGACGCATCCTTGATTTATTGATGCTAGTTAGTTGACCATTTGTATTGATTATACAGTAGTCAGCCATCTGATTATTGCATACACTTTCAAGGAGGATTGGCTCCCAGAGTGCACCACCGATATTCTGTCCCATATATGGGTATGTCGTAATACAAAATTCGAATTCAAACAGCCGCCATTTTGTTCACTTCAACATTTAAATCGTGAATTTTGGTCTTATTTCCAAACGAAAAATTCCAAAACTCACAAGAAACGATCGAGATATTGGTTCGAATCTTTTGAACTGTTTATTTTGAATTTATAGTCGGTTTTAATTTCAGAAAATAACGACATTTCGACGTTTTCATTGTTGGAAAATATCGAGTTTCGATCCTGGGAGCCAATCCTCCTTGATACACTTTGTAATGTATTTGTAATTTAGATGCATATTCCAAATGATCAACATTGAAAGCATGTTATGTCAAAACTGTTCCTATGTCTGTTTTACTTAAAAGTGTGCATATGATCTAGAAAATGCATTTTTTATGTTTATGCGAAACCAGATTTGATTTTTGAAGATATATCAACTAAACATAATACTCAAACGTTGGATTGTATGACTGTATATGTTGAACAAATCAGATAAGATCAACGTACAGAATGCTGAGATAGGAAACGCGGATATGGCTAATGATGTGTGATTTGGTGACGAGGAGGATGCGTTTTCGGAATAGTGAAGAGGTATAGGTTAATTAAGTTGGTTATAAAATTGTTGTCCTTCGATGTTTTTCTCAAGGTCAAAGAAAGGTCAAAAAGTTCTTTTTTCAATTTCCTTCTAATTGACCAATTTTTTTCAAAATTATCTACAAGCTCTCAAAAATCTGACAATAGATTTGAACTTCTATGACATTCTCAAGGTAAAAAGGAGTTCACCTTCAATGACCCTTCTCAAGGTCAAAAAAGGTATTTTTCAACTTGCTTCAACTTGACCAATTATTTTCCAAAATCATCTACAAGTTCTAAGAAGTTCAAATCTGACTTTAGATTTGAGATTAACCTTCTAATCTCAGGGTCAAAAATCTTCAATTGATCAATGTTTCTTTCAAAATGATCTGCAGAGTTTTCATAACTTCAAATCTGACTAAGATTGAACTAATAATATTGTGAGCAACTAGGTGGTGACATTTTGTCATGTTAATGCCTTACGTTAATATATTTGAGTTTTGACTTTATTACTTCGGGTATCCCCGAACGTTTTATTTGCAACAGTAGGCTATCGTCTGGTGATGTGGGGAAATTAGCAGTTTCGTTAGTGTTGACACAAAATTCGCCTTAAAATCATTAGCCTTGGTTGCATTCTATAAATACACTGTTATATAAATAAAGTATAATAGAGAAATTTCGCAACTCACTTATAGCATGTTTATTAGTATAAAGTCCAGAATAAAGTATTACTTATGAAGCATTTGATTACGTCATCATTTATTGCGCAGCTCTACGTCCATAAGTGTCATATTCTTATATATACGTATAGACGAACATTTTTGTTGATTACAATTAGTAACTTTTTATGTACGCACAATCATTGCTGTTGACGGACGTCAGGCTATGGCAGACGCTGTCAATTTACAACGTACCTAACACGTTCCTAATGAAAAAAACTATACCTTTCATGTACAGTGTGTAATAAAACCCAATATACACCAATGGGGCGGAATCCCATTTGCCCCATCGACTCCGACCTTGCCCCATAGAATCCCAACTTGCCCACATGTTCATTCTCGCTGAGGATTCATAGGACTTTGACCCATCTTGCCCCATTGAGTCCTCAAGGGACTCGATTGGGCAAAGTCCGACGGAGTTCCGGGAGTTCCACGGAGTCCATGGGGCAAAATATCAACAAGTCCCACGAGGTCCCACGCATTAGTATGTGTAATGTGTATGGAGGTCCAATCATGCCCCTTTGATGTATGTTGGTCTTAAATTATTCTTCATCAATCAGTTATCAAAACAAAATATATTGTTGTTAATATATACGCTGTTAACGTTACTTTCACTCCGGAGCGTTTCATTCACTTATAAACGCCGTGGACCTAAATAATATGGCGGTGAATGAAAATTTAACGATGACCGTAAGTATTAATATCTTTTTCAATCGATCAGGACGAACACGAATACAAACGTTTAAAAATCAGCACTGTTTCAACTTCCAAGACATTTTTTCCAGTCCTCGTGAACATAGTTGCAGTTCATAATAAGTTAATATTTGACCCCTCCTTGCATTGGTTGACTATACATATTCATCCCTTAATCCTAATGATGCAGTGACTAGTGCCACGATTACTGCAAATAAGAGCACTTAACACTGTAAAAGCGTTTGCCAGATTGTAAAAGGAATAATGAATATAAATAGCCTATAAATGCACATACGTTTCAATTGATAAATGTACATTAAATCATATTTATAAGACATCTATTTTCATTAAAACACAACTAAGCCTTAATTACATTAAATCTATTTAACTATACCCTCTTTTTAACAATTTGAGGTGAATCCTGACGTAAAATCTTTCACTTAGAAGCTGGAGTAATGATTATTAATAGCCTTTCACTCTGGCTGTAGTTGATGCCATACCATAATAGCCTACTGATGTAGTCTTGATCAAGATGGATAGATGGACATTAATAGTAAAATTAGATAGCATTAGATAGAATATTGAAGCCAATTTTCCTTCGATTCGGATAACGAAAAATCTGATTCTCTTAAATCGCAAAATCTTGTTAAAGGCCCCATATAAAGTTTAAACCACTTTAAAAGCAACTTTTAGAGGTCACTCATATCTTCTAATTAGCCACAATTTATACCAATGCATAGCATTCATCCTCCCATGTTTTTATTAAGAAAATCGGTTTATAAATAAGCGAGAAATGAACTTATCAGTGCATGAAAATGGTTCTGAGAAAAATGCATTTCAAAATTTTAGTTCTCATAGAAACCAATGGTACAATGATATCTAAAACATAATTTATTCTTCCTTTTAACCTGGTTAGACAATCAACATTGGTTTTTTATGAAAGTCTAGCATATTTAGAAAAGACTGACATCGAAAAAAAAATTCAATTTTTTCAAAAGGTTTTTGCTACCTTAGTGGCATCACTAATGTTTCAAAATATTTTTGATATGCTAAAACATTGAAGTGGCCCATTAAATATGGCATTTTATTATTGAAATGGTTTGTCCTTTGTTCAATATTTGCATTGGTGTTAAAAAGATAATATTTTTTGAAATGCATTAAGAAATATTTGATGATTAAGAAATTTCAACTTTTTTTGAAAAATGGCGGGAAATTTGAATATTTGAGAAATGAAATGCTCACAACTTTTTTTTCAAAAAATTCTTTTTTTCAAAAATCTCTAAAATCACTTTTTAAGTCCTGACAAATAGTAAATGAATGATAAAAAATATTTTCAAACTTTAGACGGGGACTTCAATGCATGCTCCAATGGGGAAGTCAACGACAATACGTTTTCCTAATGGAGGTAGACTCCCGGAGTCCTGTTTTTGCTAATATCCATTGATGATATCAACAAGTGACATCTATCGAATAAGATAACAGTTGATCTTCAATTTATTTTTGTCGGTACCAGTGAAAGATTCTTGCTGCAAACTGCGTTCAAGAAATCGGTAAGATAATCCGTTTCTCCTGTCCCTGGGATCCTGTTACACATTGTCAATAGTATTGTTCTAATATTGTAACCAAATAAAAACTCTTATTGGGGTTGAACTCTAAGCCATAATACTTTTCAGATATAATGTTTATCGGATATTTCAAAATCGGTCCAGAGTTCACATTCTGCCTTTGGAGTCTCGTTCGAATAGGTTGAACTTGGTATGTACTTGCGAAGTATTCCCAGTTCAAAATCACAGGATATTATTATTATCATCAAATGAACCTGTTGCATATTTTGTCAATGACGATATAGTTGAAATTTCGTTTTTTTAGCAAGAATACCAAATTCGATAGCGCTTTATCTTAGTCATATCAATTTGAATTAATGGCTAGTCATAATGGCTAATTGAACAAAAGCACACGCAGCCTTTTTAATTGGCGTCTAAATACGTTGAACATTCTAGTCTAATGTGGAACAATGGGGTTATTGTTCTGTGAGTAATTTCAATCTCCTTCGTATACACTCAGGGCTTGGTGCTCTTCGAGAAATGATCATTTAGCTGCACTTTCGTTTCGTACAGGGAAACAATAATCTCACTCGAAGGCCCTTCTATTTATTATTTCAAATCATCAATCATCGTTGTCTCAACGCTAAGCAGTATGAGGACGAAGATATCTCTCCAAACCTTTGTGATGGTATGTTGACGAGATGACTCGTTAAAATACATTATATTTTTAAAATATGGTCCAGATCGCTGAAACTAATGATAAGGCGGCCTAGGAAGCGGACTAGCATTCCCGTATGTCCCAACGTATGGCCAACAGCTATGTCCTATGTCAGCCTAACATTCAGAACTGTCCGTCGTACGTGTGACAGTGCACATGTTATGGAAATTGTTGTTTGTTTTTGCTTCCCATTTTTTCAGATGGAAACATTTCCTTAAGTATCTGTTATAAAGTCTCCGGTAGCCTTGGCGAATGTCCCGTGTCCGGTAAGCGTAGATAATAGGGTTACTGATGAAATGAACGAGAGGGAGATTTTCGATCATGTCCACAGGAAAGTTTGCTGAGGTTTTTGGGATGTATGTCGAAAGTGCAACGTAGATAAATTTAGGAAGGAGGGCCAGAATAAGGGTGCTTGTCAGTATCAGAGTTGTCGTCAAATCTTTATTGTTGCGGTGAAAATTGACGCCGCTATTTCTACGAGTAGTGAGTCTGCGATGACGCCTGGAGATGCACAGGACGCAGAAGTACAGGGACACTGTTACGAAGATACACACCAGTATAATGACCCTCCATGAGTGGTGAATCGTCTTCACAACGTCCAACGAAATACCATCGATGTAACAATCGTGATCTGGATCGATGATCAATACCACCATTCCCGGCACAGATATCAAAACGCTAAAAACCCACGTTACCAAAATCGCTATGATCTCCGCCAGTCTTCTCAAAAGGAACCCGGATCTAATAGCGTACTGAATGACTATAAATCGGAATATGGAGACGCACATAAGCGTCATCATGCATACGTTATAAACAAAAGTATGGAGTAAGATAAACGTGTTGTGAAAGCAGATAGAATACATAGCACGGTTGACAAATTTGCTGTACCACAAAACAGCTTGCATTATCTGAATCGAACACCCTAAAACATCCGTTAAAGCGAGTGACGTCATCAGCAAGTAAAATGTCGTGAGGTGGCTATTTGGACTCAAATTGATCGCACATATTGCGAGGGTATTTATAACAATCCCTATTATGCCCAGTGGTGTGGCTACGCATATCCACCGTATTGCCACTTCTTTGTTGTCAGCGGCGTCGGTGTCGAAGATACTAGCAGTTGAATTAAATGTGTCGTTTATATAAAAGACGGCAGTATTCGTGGACATATTAACGCCCAAAGTCTCCAAACTATAGTTAAATAAACTTGGATTAGCCATGGCAATTTGTTGATAAAAGATTCGATTTTCACTAATGTTTTCATGTGTCATAAACACACACAAATTACTTGATGTTATGGAAATCGAAAGCCGCGTAATCAACTTGAGTGCCTGTTTCGCTAGTATCGCTTACTACATTCTGTATTTATTACTGTCTTCCGGGAATTTTTTCCTATTAGTTACATTCGTATTGGAGTTTTTTTCATCCATAAAATCTGAGAATTGAACGACATCCTGAAAATTAACTGCATGCGTTACAGTTGTTATTTCCAAATATTTATAGTCCTGTCGATTTTATTGTTCACTTGGCTATTGTCCATTCGATTATCGTCTTCTTTATAATTGTCCCCTCGATTAGTGCCTGCTCGAATTTGTCCAAGTTCAGAGCGTTTTCACTTCAATTCGTCGTCGCATTTTAGATGTTCACTTCGCTCCCTAACTCAAAATTTACTAGTTTCTTTCGATAAACGTATAGTGTGAAATCCAACTAATGAACTGAATTAACTAAATGCTGCGTTTATTTATCGTACTGTAGTCGACCAATAGATGTTCATCTCTAAGTTATTCCAATAATTTATTACTTAGTTGAACCTATAGCTACTCGCTAATAATGGTTGATGGGCTCTGGTATATCTAATATCTATATATCGCTTAAAACTCGTATAATATAACGAACTCAGCTTGTAATCAGATGAGAACGAAGCATCGATAGATAGTCTTTTGCCACGTCGAACCTTTACTCATGTTCTTCTCTACTTATATACGCATCAAAAAATAAATCTATGGGGCAGTAAGTGAGCCGTCTAATGGATCCAAAGTGACGAATTAAGTTATTATTAAGTTATTATAGCCCTTGTCCAGTCGATTAAGGCGTGTTACGCTCAAAACCAGTTCTAGTGCGTTTCCCAGATCTTCAAATGAATACAACTTTTAGTGGGTCGTTGAGAGTTGGAGTCTCCTTGCTGGTGAACGTACCTCTGAAACAAAAAAGAAATATTTGACATGATAAGATTATTTAAATTATATATTACTTTAGGCCTGATTTTCAAGGGCTAAGATATCGTGATATATTGCATTTTTAATTTGTTTCTTTGTTGTAGTCTTTGCTTCTATCCTGAGGCTCAGGAAAACGTTAAAAATGTCCCTTAGTGGACTGAGTTGGTTATGCGTGGTGTATACATGTATATATATACTCTTTTACTATATTACTTACATTAAATAAGAATAATACTGACTTTTTTTATTAATGACTGTATACCCGGCCTCAGCTTCTATCTTTACGATTGACAATATAAACTGCTCTAGAGAACCTCGTGATCGAGTATATATATATATCTTTTATTGACTCTTAAGATGTCATACTCTGACATATTAGTCATTACAAAATAAAAACATTGTATTGCACTACACTACACTACGCTACACTACACTATACTAAGTCTAAGCTATTTTAATACAGACAATTTATACAAAGAAACGTTATTTACATATGTTACAATATACTTTGTGTGTGATGCACCCAAAATGCTAATCTCCAGGCAAGTTTAAGTTTTTGAATGATTTTGCAATAAAACTTCCAACTTGCTTCTGAACATATTTATCTTTTGAAGAAATTAACATAATGAATGCATTTTAGGGATGATGTTTTGATTTATATATTTTTTGCTTCTGATGTTGTCAAACAATATATTTATATTTTCTCTATGTGTCAATTAATCATGAAATGAACTTCATTTTCTATTTCCCCACAAGCTTTACACAATCTTTCAGACTCAGGTTTTGGTCGTGGTTTCACATGTCTACCCAATTCTATTTGTAACTTATGTGAACTTAATCTCAGCTGTGAAAATGATTGCCTGTGATTTTTGTTTTGTAGGCTTAAATATTGCTCTCTTTCATTGTTGTTTTAAAGTTAATATATGTTCTTAAAACTGGATATAATTGTAAATCACACTTCCATTTTTCCTTATAATTTTGGTGCAATGTTTTAGTTAGATTCTTTATAAACACATAGTCATCCTCAACAACTTGTTCATTCCAAGTGCATTGGAGATTACAATCTTTTAAAATGTTATGAACCTTACTTGACCAAGTATTTTTAAAACCTAAACTGTACATTTCATAATCATATAAATATGCTTTATAAAGGAGGTTATCAGGACAAAGTTGTAAAAGTCGTATCCAATATTTAATAAGTTGAATATCAAAACACAGAGCTAGGGGAAAACGACCCATCTCTCCATAGACTGCTAGTGTTGCAGTTGATGTTTTCACACCAAGATTGCTTTTTCAAAAGGACAGGTAAATAGTTTCAAGTGACCTGATATGTTTTTACTTGACCATATTTCTGAACCATATATCAAAATTGGTTGGACAAGTGAATCAAGTTGATGTAAAGCAACTGATATTGGAATATCATTAAACATGTGATATTGTTGCTTTATTTTGAATAAAGCTTTTCTAGATTGTTCTTTAAGATAACATATTTGTTTTTCAAAATTATTTTTTTTGTTGAAAATACGTCCCAGATATTTGTAGTCTTCAACACATGCAATCACTTCATTATTGAATTGAAAGGTTTCATCTGACTTTGAGTTAAAAATAATAGCTTTTGTTTTGACAGTGTTGACAACAAGATGATAATTTCGACAAAAATCAAAGAGAGAGAGTCTAGCATAGACTGAGCTCCAGATTTAGAGCTAGCTATTAATACTAAGTCATCTGCCCAAAGAAGATGGTTTAAAGAAACACCTTCAAACTCTATACCATGTCTGGAGGAAGATAATCTTTCAAGTCATCCAAAAAATGGTTGAAAAGATATGTACTGAGAACAGAGCCCTGCATAACTTCAATTTCAGTATTGTAGGTTGGAGTAATGCGAGTACCTGAATATCTTTTGATTTTTACCTTTTGAGTATAATAGGCCTATAATAAGGCAATCGTCTGCCATTCGTTGAAGAGAGCCATGTCTCCTTATCTTCAAGTCACCAACAATTTAGTCTCAGAATCATTTGTAGTTAAGAAAACTAAGATTGAGTTAATTCAGTTTTAGTCAGGGGACTAATTTCCGAAGGCTGCAATTTGTGATTCGAACATATACTTCGAACTACATCTGTTTCTGAAATGCCAAACAATGTACACGATAAAAGTAGCTACAGTGTATATATTTTACTCTCCACATTTTGTTTGCGAATCTGAATCGTAATAAAATTTAACTATAAATGGTTTATTTTCAGTTAGTCTAAAATACTTTTACTCGCACACTTAAATCGTAATGAATGAAACCTTAAAGTGTTTAAGAATTATAACACACAACGATATACAAAAGATTCTTTGTACATTTTTGGTAATAGTACAAAAGAGTTATCTAGTCTAGTAACTTTTTTATTATAACGCCATTGCATTATAAATTGTACGTGTTCACGAAAATACCTTTCCTTATTTCATTGTAAAGCGACACTACGACATTTTGTAAAATATCACTAGATTGATATAATAATAATTTCTACGTTTTTTGCGCTCACGTAATCAGTATGCTTGCGTTAAAAGTAACAATCTAGCGTTCGTATTATTATAAGTGAACCTGTAGAAGGCTACTTTGTTTAGGGACGTATAATATAAGTGAACGTGGGACGTATTAGACAAGTGCAAGATTGTCAAATATGTGCATTAGTTAAACGTCTTCACTCTCTTCATTAGACCTAAAAGATATCTTGCAATCAGCCATTAAATCCTCAACATCATTTCCTGTCTGCAGCCACTGACAAATGATTGAATTATCCTGAAACGATTTAATCAAGGCGAAAATCCTTTGTCGACGTCAGGCATTGTTCCACCGATTTTAACGACATTTGTAGAGTCTTGTTTGACATAAGGCAAATGCCATTTTCATTAAGTTTCAGGTAAAATTAAGAAACTCATTTTATGAACTAGATTACAGTAAAGCCAAGGCGTAACAAATCTCATTGAACAGTCATGGCTTCCATTTTTGGATATAATGGCTACATATTAGCCATGCAAACAAACAAAATCGTTGAACTACCTTTTCAATTACAGCAAAAAACGTAAAATAACACACATAAGAATGACCTCTATTTTTCAAAATTGCCGTTTACTAACAGAGATTTCATTGGAAAGATCGCGGTGTCCACACTCACACCCCTCCCGGCGATGACCAGTCTAACAGACAAGCTTCTGCCATCTAACCAACCGCACACACCTTGTTTTGTTATTTTATTGGGAGAGGGATCATGGGCATTAATCGCTCAATTACTTTGAAAAACGTAAAATAGCACATGTAAAAATTTCCGCCATTTTTCAAAATGGCCACTCATTAGCCAAATATTCCGCCATTTTTCAAAATGGCCACTCATTAGCCAAATTATCATAAGAAAGTGTGATATGCATTTGAGTATTCACATATAATATTTCAAAAAAAATCGCTCCATTTCTTTTCGAGTTATACGAGTTAGTTTTCACTTGTATAGTGAAAAAAGGAAAATAACACACGTAATTTCTTTTCAGGATGACCGCCTACTGGCCAAAATGTGATAAGACAATGTACAATGCAAATGAATATTCGCATATTAGTTATGAACAAAACTTGTACTCTCATGGAGCACATACGTGTAAAATATAAACGATATTTGACCAGCGATATTTTTTGAATGATTGCTCTGACGTACGTACGTACGTATGTCATTTCCTGTCTGTAGTCACTGTCAAATGATTGAAATATCCTGAAATGATTTAATCAAGGCGAAGATCCTTTGTCATCGTCAAGCATTGTTCCACCGATTTTCATTACATTTGTAGAGTCATTGTTCGACAGAAGGCAAACGCCAAGATGTACAGCGCCGTTGTATATCCCTCGAACGGCGTTCGATGGGGTAATGAATTCTGATGATTCGAAATTATAGTTCTGCAATATTAAGTCCTGACGTGAAGACGTTTATGTTTTCTTACAAAGAGAAATGTATATAACGATGATCGAAATACATTTGGCTTTTACATAATGTGGGAGAAAAAATTAGGATCTAGGATAAAACGAACACTTTTTTAACAC